CGTTACAGCCTTATTCTTTTTTTTTATGTCCTCGTCAATCTACATACAATACCTCCTAATGACAAAGCAAAAACAGGTATTTAGAAATAACACATTTATTAAAAATAAATACATAAGTATTCAGACCCTTTGCTATGAGACTCGAAATTGAGCTCAGGTGCATCCTGTTTCCATTGATCATCCTTGAGACAGGATTGTGTTGAGGCACAGATCTGGGGAAGGGTACCAAAAAATGTCTGCAGCATTGAAGGTCCCCAAGAACACAGTGGCCTCCATCATTCTTAAATGGAAGACATTTTGAATCACCAAGACGCTTCCTAGAGCTGGCCGCCTGGCCAAACTGAGCAATTGGGAGAGAAGGGCCTTGGTCAGGGAGGTGACCAAGAACCTGATGGTCACTGACAGAGCTCCAGAGTTTGTCTGTGGAGATGGGAGAACATTCCAGAATGACAACTATCTCTGCAGCACTCCACCAATCAGGCCTTTATACCAATCAGGCCAGACAGAAGCCACTCCTCAGTAAAAGGCACATGACAGCCCGCTTGGAGTTTGCCAAAAGATACCTAAAGGACTCTCAGACCATGAGAAACAAGATTCTCTGGTCTGATGAAACCAAGATTAAACTCTTTGGCCTGAATGCCAAGCATCACGTGTGGAGGAAACCTGGCACCATCCCTACGGTGAAACATGGTGGTGGCAACATCATGCTGTGGGGATGTTTTTCAGTGGCAGGGACTGGGAGACTAGTCAAGATCGAGGGAAAGATGAACGGAGCAAAGTACAGAGAGGTCCTTGATGAAAACCTGCTCCATAGCGCTCAGGACCTCAGACTGGGGCGAAGGTTCATCTTCTAACAGGACAACGACCCTAAGCACACAGCCAAGAAAACGCAGGAGTGGCTTTGGAACAAGTCTCTGAATGTCCTTGAGTGGCCCAGCCAGAGCCCGGACTTGAACCTGACCGAACATCTCTGGAGAGACCTGAAAATAGCTGTGCAGCGACACTCCCCATCCAACCTGACAGAGCTTGAGAGGATCTTCAGAGAAGAATGGGAGAAACTCCCCAAATACCAGTGTGCCAAGCATGTAGCGCCGTACCCAAGAATACTCTAGGCTGTAATCGCTGCCAAAGGTGCTTCAACAAAGTACTGAGTAAAGGGTCTGAATACTTATGTAAATGTAATATTTCATTTTTGGGGGGCAAACATTTCTAAAAACCTGTTTTTGCTTTGTCATTATGGGGTATTGTGTGTAGACTGCTGAGGAAAAAAACTATTTTATCAATTTTAGAATAACAAAATCCATATTTATCTTTCATTCACATATCATTTTTGGATTCCCTCTGGATATCATACATGATATGGCCGGATATGTGAAGAAGCACAATGATTTTTGCCACCTAAACAGGTAAAATCATTTGGCCGCTGGACATTTCGAAGTCAGATTTAGCACATTTTCAATCAGACCTACAAGATGAAACATTAAAATATATATGATTCACATATCATGTAAGGATATTTATTGTAATTATGAATTATTTGAGAAATACAGATACATAAATGATCAGGTAATGACTACAGATATGATACAGTTCAGAAAGTATGTGGATTCGTTCATGCCTGAGTATAAAGGCTTAGATATGTCAGCATGTTCCTTTCCAGAGTTAGAATATTCTACAAATATGTAAGCGGGCATCAGGTGCGTGTCTTGAATGTATCTCACCCCAAATATCTCCCCGGTAGCAGGGAGAGTTTGGAGGTCCGGATTGGATGCATGTAGAAACTGTCCCATTACTGTATCTAATAAAAGGACAGCTATCCGGAAATATATAGATAAAGATATCCCTTGATATTGACTCTTTTTCCCCAGTGAGTACTACTCACGGGCCGCTAACAATTTTTTTAGACCTACACCTAGTTCAGTTATCTAGCTAACAACCTGGTAACTTACTCTCAATAGGAAAATAGTGTTTTAACACAACGTAGAAACCTAATATTCCACAAATGCCTTTGTAATTACAATGACCAGTATTTGTATCAACATTAGCTTTTTGTAATAAACAAATGTCTTAACAGGGTTACATATTAATTTCTGGGGCACCTGCCTCAGAAGTAGCTGGAATTCCACATTTTGTTTGGTTACAGCTTGAATTTAAAATGTATTACATTTTGTCACTGGCCTACACACAATACTCCATAATGTCAAAGTGGAATTATGTTTTAATTTAATTTTTTATAAATCAATTAAAAATTAAAAGCTGAATGTCTTGAGTCAATAAGTATTCAAACCCTTTGTTATGGCAAGCCTAAATAAGTCCAGGAGTACAAATGTACTTAACAGGTCACATAATAAGTTGCATGGACTCAATCTGTGTGCAATAATAGAGTTTAACATGACTTTTTAATGACATCTCTGTACCCCACACATACAATTATGAGCAGTGAATTTCAAACACAAATTCAACCACAAAGACCAAGGAGGTTTTCCAATGCCTCGCAAAGAAGGGCACCTATTGGTAGATGGGTACAAAAAAAAACAACAGACAATAAATATCCCCTTGAGCGTGGTGAAGTTATTAATTACACTTTGGATGGTGTATCAACGTACCCAGTCACTACAAAGATGCAGGCATCCTTCCTAACTCAGTTGCTGGAAAGGAAGGAAACCGCTCAGGGTTTTCACCATGAGGCCAATAGTGACTTAAAAACAGTTACAGAATTTCATGGCTGTGATAGAAGAAAACTGAGGATGGATCAACAACATTGTAGTTACTCCACAATACTAACCTAATTGACAGAGTAAAAAGAAGGAAGCCTCTACAGAATAAAAATTATTCCAAAACATGCATCCTGTTTGCAACAAGGCACTAACTTAATACTGCAAAAAATGTGGCAAAGCAATTAACTTTTTGTCAAGAATACAAAGTGTTATGTTTGGGGAAAATCCAATACAACACATTACTGAGTACCACTCTCCATATTTTCAAGCATAGTGGTGGCTGCATCATGTTATGGGTAGGCTTGTAATCGTTAATGACTAGGGAGTTTTTCAGGATAAAAACACGAAACGGAATAGAGCTAAGCACAGTCAAATTCCTAAGGGAAAACCTGGTTCAGTCTGCTTTCCACCAGACACTGGGAGATTAATTCACCTTTTAGCCGGGCAATAACCTAAAACACAAGGCCAAATCTACACTTGCTTTCCAAGAAGACAGTGAATGTTCCTGAGTGGCCAAGTAAGTTACAGTTTTGACCTTAATCTACTTCAAAATATATGGAAAGATCTGAAAATGGTTGTCTAGCAATGATCAACAACCAGCTTGAAGAATTTAAAACATAAAAAGTGTTGTCATTATGGGGTATTGTGTGTAGACGGGTGAGAAACAAAATCCATTTAATCAATTTTGAATTCAGGCTGTAACACATCAAAATGTGGATCAAGTCAAGGGGTATGAATACCTTCTGAAGGCACTGTAACTACACCAATATGGCTGCATTCTCCCCTCTTAGTCAAACATGGTGGAATGTGGACAGTTTTTACACACAAACTCACCACTCTAAAATGGTTTTATCGGGCATAATGCAACATGTCCAAATAAGGTTCTATGTACAGGTTAATTTAGTGCTTACACATTACATGTTAGCGATTTTACAGATGTTAGAAATGAGGGGGGGAAAAACAGGGGCCACACATTTTTTGTAGAATCCTGTGAGAATATCCCTTATGTCACCTCTTAATGTGTGAGTTATTGACTACTATTGACATTAATAACTGAACAGGACGGCAGTAATGGCAGACCAAAAAGTATTGCTTGGACAATACTAGTTATCCCCAAATTACCATACAACATAAAGTGAGCTGCTTCACTTGTCCTGCCATAGAAAGACAATTTAAGGTGGTGCTCAAGTTGTCATAATTATGTAGACATTGAGTTGTGTAAACATTTCGAGCAAATAGCATGTTACAACTCTGTCATGTATGTAGCATTCATATTGTGGAGCAATATTACATACAAAATTCCCTATTAAAACTATACAATTACAATAGCTCTCCTACCATTATCTACCAGTAAAGTGAATGAAATGCCTCAAAGGCATGTCAAAGTGTCACGGATTCGGCCGAGGCTGCTCCTCCTCCTTGCTCGGGCAGGCTTCGGCGTTCGTTGTCCCCGGAGTACTAGCTGCCACCGTTGAATGTTATCGATGTTTGTTTGGTTTTGTCTTCCTTGTACACCTGTTTCCATTTAGTGTTCATTATGTCCCCTATAAGTTTCTCGTTTTGTTTGTAGTTAGTTGTGTGTAATTGTACGCCTGTCTGTTGGGGTTGTTGGATTTTGCATTCTCGTATTCAAGAGTAGTGACGCACTGTTTGCGCATCTCTTGTATTTAGTGTTTTACGCACTGTCTGCGTATCACTCGCCTCCGTCGTTTGAGGCTCTTTATTTTGTATTGTCCTTTTCCTGACTAGTAAAGTCTGTTTGGACTAAGCTTCTGTGTCCTGCACCTGACTCCACCACCACATCGTCATCAGTACCACTGACACAAAGAGAGGTAGAGGAGACTTTTTCAAATCAAAGTGTTTGTTATGACAGGGACATTGCATCAGCTAGTGTTCATGACCATTCACGAACTGTGGGTTCCAGCAGACAAGAAGCCTTACTGTTTTACCACTTCTGCAATGGCTGCATTCTTTGGTAATCACTTCTGTGTTACTGGTAATAACTTTCTGAATGGTGTTCTGTGTAGATGTCAGTGCTTTATGGTGTTCTGTGTAGATGTCAGTGCTTTGGGGGAAATGCAGGCAACAACGCTTCTCCTCAGTCTGTGAGATTAAATCTATAGTATATACTGCATGTCATTTATAAAGGTCTAACAAATAGGATATACTATCATTCATACAATGTCAATAGAAAGGGTCAAACAATGTCCCAATGTAGTGTTTGTGAAATAAATCTGCATTCCTCTCTGGATATGTATTTATATGCCATTATCCGCCCCTCTCTCAGCTCATCTCTATGCCGTGCTCCAGCTCCATGACTGGTCTTTTCTCAGGGCTGTAGTCTCGGTCATCACGCTCCACATACCTCTGCAGGGTGCTGTAGTACTGCTCACTCTTGGAGAAGGTGTAGAGGGCTGAGACCTCCTCCCAGGCCTTGTGGTTGGGGAATGGGAATATTTCCGGGTCACGGTTCTCAAAGAAGCTCTTTAGGTTCCTCTCGGCCAGTTTGGATGCGTACTCCATAGCGAATTTGTCGAACTGCTCCTTCTCCTTTTCTACATAGCGCTTCCAGAAGGTGAGCTGCAGGTAGCTGACCTTCGAGCGGCAGTTGGTGTAGCAGGTCCCGAGGAGCCCTAGAACGGCTGAAATTATGATGATACACCAGCCCAGTATCTGGGGATGTACAGACATGAATCAAAACTCACATAAAATGAATAAACAATGCCAACAGTTTTTTAAATGAAAATAATAATAATAATTCATTAATAATAATAATTGTTAATAATAAACTTTTCCAATACTGTTGTTTTACTGTCAGTTGAAATACAAACAGTAAAGTAAATCAATGAATCACACCTTCATTTTGGTCTGACTCGTACCAGCATTTGCAGCTGTATCAATAACCCATTGACAGTGAAAAATATGACATTCCACCATACAAAAGTCACAAACAGGGTCTGACTGCTGCTTGCACTCACCTGTGACTGAGCCCGGAACATGAGCAGCAGCTCCATGCTCTCGTCACTGGGCAGCTTGGACTTGCTGCAGGGCACGCGGGCCAGCTCCTCCCTGCACATCAAGGTCTTGTTCTTACAGAACAGATCCACCACCAGGTTCTCATCCAGCCCGCTGACGGCACACTCGTAGAAGGTCCCGTTCAACAGTGCCACACACAGCCACATGATGGGGCCACACAGGCACCGGAGAAGATTTTGACAAACACTTTGAGGCAGTTGAGGCAGTTGCCCCTGGGGCACAGTTTCATGGGTTTGAGGCAACAGCCAGTGTAGAGGCGCCACAGCCTGCTGCTGAAGAAGAGACCCAGCACCAGCAGCACCAGGCCTGGGCCCAGCAGGAAGGTCAGGCCGTATGCAAAGTTCTGGTTGTGGTTGCAGGGGCACTGGAAGGAGACCATGGAGAAGATCCGCTCTCCCCCGATGGTCAGGAGGGCCATGAAGCTGTAACCAATGCTGGACTTCTGGTTCATGAAAAAGCGCAGGACCGTCTGGAAGTTATCCATGGTGTCGACAAGGAGTTTTTACTCACGCTCCGCAAAAACCAAAATAATGCAAAGAGAATAGACAATTAGAAGAAGAAAAATACAGTGGTGAAATAGTTTAGACGCAAACGGCTACCTTTGGAATGTATGTATCCAACACTCACTCCACTCCCTGTACTGTCTGAGCCAAAGGCAAATACAAACACACTGAAGCTCTTCTGAGCATGTTTCTGCCCTCCCTTTCCATCCCTCCTGTTCTTTCTCTTTCACTCTTCCTCCCCAAGAACTCCTCCCTCTTTTCCTCACTTTATCTCTGTTTCCCGCCCTTGTCCACCCACTTAATCCAATGAGATTGTCTGTATTCTCCCGCTCTCAAACCTCACCCTGATTCTTCTTTCTTCCTTCTAAATTTCCCTTTCTCTCTCACTCCCCCCTCCTTTCCTATGCATAGGTAATAAAACAGCAGTGACCAAACTGGCTGAGATCCTGCAGATCTGGTTTTTGACTTCAGACCATGCAGCTGCCGTTGTCCTCTGAGAGTGATGTCATATGACAAGCAGCCAGAGGGTCATGCAGTCTGTCAGAAAAACAAACATAACTTCACTTTAACCAGATTCATTTAAATTGTTAGTTGAGCAGTTCAGCACAGTGATTTCAGCACCATGATTTATTATCTGTATTAAATGCACATACAGCTTGACCCAGATACAACATTATACAGTATATGCAACCAGCCTTTGCTCTCTCTCTCTCGCCCTCTCTTTCTCTTTCCCTTTCTCTTACAGGCACAAAACACACACACAGGAAGCAATGTGTTATTTCAGCACTAAGGCTACAATGCATTCATTAGCAGTTAAAAAATGTAATGGAAATCAACAATAATGTTAATACTGAGCTATGCAAGCTCATGCAGATGCATATAATGTCCTCTCCCACTTCCTATAGAAGCCTGTGATGAGTTTCTATGCTCTACAATTCCCACAGGATGGAGCTATAGTCTCTTCACTCTAAAAGGCCTGTGAGTGCATTGATTTATCCCACAGAGAAGCTTTTAACAGGGCTGTACTTGCCACATTGGGCACATCAGGTACTTCATGTACTACTACCAGAAATGGGCAAAGATACACCAAAATGTATCTTGTTACAAAATATTATCCTAAAGACCAATTATTCTTCAGAGCTTTGTGGCCTCCTATCACCTCAAATTCATTGAATTGGTGTCAGAAATGAGATACTGTGAGTGTGAAGTAATCAGAGGTGCAGGTGAAGGTGAAAAGGTGTTTGAAAGAAAGTCGAGGCACAGGACTCACTTCCCGAATGAGTGTGAGTGCAGTGACAGTGTGGCAATAACATAGTGTGTTCCCTTTCAAAGTCAAGTTTACTTTCCACTTATGGACCAAATTCACTGCATTATCCTCATACTCATACTTGTGCTTTAACTTTCTTTCAAGCTCCTCTACTCATCCAACAACAACTCCCATGGCCTCACACGATAGTACCATAAGATTTCTGATACCAATGCAGCAAATGTGGGGTGATATTGGGCCACCAAAATGTGAACCACTATACCTTTTTTGTTAAAAAGTATTTTTAGTATTTTGAAAATACAAAATAACATTCTCTGAAGTATGTTGTTACAAATAAAAATGTATATATAATACTCAAAAGTAATTGAAATATGTATGTCAAATACAGTACATGTAACAGAAATACTGCCGATCTCTGACTAGTACTACTTAAGCTTTACAGAGAGATACGAATCTAACAATTACACTAAGTTTACATTCAATTCAGAGCTGATGTTCATCGCAGTTCACTTGTGGCAATGGTTGTGGCAATGGTCAGTTTACAGTGCAATAATATAAATAACAATAACTCAGAAATACTTTGGAAACCAAGCTTGTAAGGTCCATATGAATATTCTTGTGGGTTAGCGTCATAAAGATGCTACATGTACACTGGTAACAGGCTTTTCCTTGAAAGTATTTTGCAGTGCACTAGCTTACAGGAAGTAAATATGTACCTTATTTCATAGAACCAGATCATGCGTTTCCTGTTTAATGCCACAGACCAGCTGTATGTAGGCCAAGTCTGAGGAGCATTAAAATACTGAAGAAAAAATAAAAGTAAAAGAGAAAGAAAGTATGGTCAACTATTTTAAAAATGATTATTTCCCTTCTGAGCATAGAATTTCAAATAAAAAGCTGCAAGCAGCGCTGGTGATACAGTGAGTGAACTTTCAAGTAACAATATAAAATTGGGAAGAATTGTTATTCAAGTGAAGGCCTGAGAGTGGTTAATCAGATAATGTGATTGGTCTTTCTACTGAAAAATCCCCTGATGCGCAGCGATAATGATGATGATGATGAAGATTATAATGCTGACAACAATTCTCTATAATGAGTCATAACTATGATGATAAAATAATGATGATTACAGATACGGTCATGATAGTGATGCTGTCACTGCTGTTCCTATGATCATATGCATGCCCATTCACAGCATCATCTTGCCCTCATCCACAAAGGCGAGCACGGCTAGATTAGCAGTGTCTGGACCGTCTGACCTGACAGACGACATCCTGTGGTCCCTGGCCTCTGCAGGATCATGACACGTCTCCACGTACTTGTGCAGGATGCTATAGTAGTGGTCTCTGGTGCTGAACCTGTAGAGGGACGAGATCTTCTCCCAAGCCTGGTTAGGTGGGGTGGTGACAGGCTCTGGAGGCATCTGCTGGAAGAAGCTCTTCAGGTTCCTCTCTGCAAGCTTTTCGGCGTGATCTGCCGTGTAGCTTTCCAGCAGGTCGCTCTCCCGCTGGGCATAGGCCCTCCAGAACTTCAGCTGCAGGGAGCTGACTGGGGAGTTACACCGGGCAACGCAGATCAGCAGGAGGTTGAAGACCATGATGGAGGCGATCAGTAGCCAACCCAGGACCTGAAATCAAAACCAATACATTCAACACAATATTCAACTATTCTGCTTAACCCCTTACCTGGAATGCCTGAGTTAATGTCACAGTTATAATTACCCACATACATTATACTGCTCAAACTCAAACCATATCTATAAAAATAGCAGGTAGCCGGGGAATGTATTTGGGCAGTATACTGTATAAGGAATGGTAGATTCATTTCAGAGGTGTTTTGGTCATCAATTAATCCATCACCTCTTTATACAATAGGAAGCAGTGTTTCCCTTAGGATTTTTTTCAGCAGCGGTGGCAAAGTTAGAATAGCGTGGTAGTGGGTGTGGCCAATGGTGCGATCTCCAACCATACATTTTAGAGGCCCTCCTCTTAGCCGCAGAGACACAATTTAGCAGTGGCGGCCCACCACTGCTAAATTAAAATATGGGAAACACTGTAAAGTTTTGTACATTAATGAGAACAAGTCTTACAGAAACTGAGTCAGACTGAAGAAGAACTGACATTTTACAACAATGGAATTCTTATAAGTAGCCTATGCTTTGGGGCACTTCTGCTTTGGGGCACTTCTGCTTTTGTTGCGATGCAACAAATGCCTTCAAAGCAAAAATGTGTACTTCATAATGTCAGAGGCTCAGTTTAAAATATAATACAACTCCCTTAGCTGTCAGAACACATCCAGTGGTGTCAATTACTGTTTACAGTCGAATCACCTACACTCCAACAGGCTGTGGACAAAAACAAGGATAGCCCACTAAAACATATAGAAGTGTGTAAAATGGGACAAAGAAGAAAGGATATTATCTCACCTGCGACTCAGCGCGGATGGTTGCCAGCACATCATCCCTTTCAGATTGTGGCACGTTGGTGGCCCTCCCGCAGGGGAATTTATAAAGTTCATCCAGGCACTGCGGACTCTTTCCATCGCAAAGGTGGTTTGTGAAAACCGTTACATTGACGCCAGTCATGGCGCATTCAAAGTAATTGCCATTGAGCAAAGCGACTGCAATCCAACTTACAGGTGCAACTACTGCTGTCGTGGTGATCTGAAAGAAGACCACCCCACAGGCGCAAAAATACTTAAAACTACAAAATGTGGATTTGCGTAAACACAAACCTGTAAACAATTTCCATGTTTTATTGCTCATGATGTAACCTAACACCAACAGTGCCAGAGCAGGCACTAAGAGAAACACCATGCCATATAAAAAGTTCCAGCCGCTGCAAGGACATTTGAACACCACCGACGAAAATATCTGTTCCCCGCCTGCAGTTAACAACGCAACTAAACCAAACCCGAGACTAGTCTGCTGATTCTGAACAAATTTAAGAACAGTTTTGAACTTATCCATCTTTCCAGACGCACAGGACTCACATGCACTTTTGCTGATAGCAAGTCATGGGAACCATATAAATAGAAGTGACAGCTATACTTTCTGTTCCCTTGTCTGGGTGCGCCTGTCCTCTCTGGTGCGCCTCCAACTCAGGGTGTTGTGAACATGAAGTCACTTCACTAGGCTACAGTTTATTTATGGACGATACAGTGAGGGGATTCTATTAATTCCCATGCCTGCCCCCGCAGAGTCGTCATGCGCCCCAAAAATCTGAAGTGGCACAATGTATGTGAGGATGGCTGGGGGGTGGTCTGGAGGGGTGCTTGGGCCCCATCTGTAAATTGGAGAATCCAGCATTTTTCAAACACCTGAAACAGCTTTTTCTGCATATTTTAGGCATACTTCTTGAGCTGTCTGTATCCTCCTGACTGGTGGTAAAATATATATATATAAAAAATAAAAACATGTTTCTCTGCATCTCTGCTCACATCTGGGTAAAAGATGGAAAGGAATGTGAGTCTTATTCAGTACATTTAGTAATTGCTTGCTTTTCTAAAGTCTACCAACCTTGCCAGCAGGCATGCCAGCTAAGATAGCTACTCTAACTTGATTGATATCCTGAAATGTCTTCTTGGTAGCTAGTTATGAGGTTGGGAGATTGGGAACCTATCTGGGTTAGCGAAAGCCAACTTCATAAAATTGCTAGGTGGCTAGTAGTTTTACAGAGAAACAAAACAATATATATATATATATGTGTGTGTGTGTGTGTGTGTGTGTGTGTGTGTGTGTGTGTGTGTGTGTGTATATATATATTTAAACAGGACAAATCTGATGGCATGATGCCTCTGCTCCTGTCTTATCTTGGGTCCTGTGTGATCTTAGGTAGGCTCCCTCTAATTCTCCTCTCTCTCTCTCTCTCGCTCTCTCTCTCTCTCTCTCTCTCTCTCTCTCTCCTCTCTCTCTCTCTCTCTCTCTCTCTCTCTCTCTCTCATTCAATTCAATTCAATTCAATTTAAGGCTTCATTGGCATGGGTAACGTATGTTAACATTGCCAAGCAAGTGAAGTAGATAGTAAACAAAAGTGAATAAACAATAAATATTAACAGTAAACATTACACTCAGAAGTTCCAAAAGAATAAAGACATTTCAAATGTCATATGTTGTATATATACAGTGTTGTAACAATGTTCAAATAGTTAAAGTACAAATGGGAAAATAATAACATAAATATGGGTTGTATTTACAATGGGTGTTTGTTCTTCACTGGTTGCCCCCCCGTCTCTCTCTCTCTCCTCTCCTCTCTCCTCTCTCTCTCTCTCTCTCTCTCTCTCTCTCTCTCTCTCTCTCTCTCTCTCTCTCGCTCTCTCTCTCTTCTCTCTCTCTCTCTCTCTCTCTCTCTCTCTCCCCTTCAGGAGGAACTAAGCCCTAGTACCATGCCTCATGACTACCTGGCCTGACGACTCCTGGCTGTCCCTGTCCCCAGTCTACTTGGTCGTGCTGCTGATCCAGTTTCTTCTGTTTTGCCTGTGGCTATGGAACCCTGACCTGTTCACCGGAAGTGCTACCTTGGCCTGGACCTGCTGTTTCGACCCTCTGTCTCTCTCTCTCTCTCTCGCTCTCTCTCTCTCGCTCTACCGCACCTGCTGTCTCAACCTCTGAATGCTCAGCTATGAAAAGCCAACTGACATTTACTCCTGAGGTGTAGTGGAGTAGGGGCCTACGTGGAACTCTATTCCACATCAGGTAACTGATGCAAGCAGTAGAATCAGATAAAAAAAAACTGATAAAAATACACCTTATGGAACACCGGGGACTGTGAAGCAACACAAACATAGGCACAGACACATGCATACACATACATGATAACATATGCACTATACACACACTTACATATGGATTTTGTGTTGTAGATAATGCGTTTTTCCAGCAGCAGACTATGATCGATAATGTTAAAAGCCGCACTGAAGTCTAACAAAACAGCCCCCACAATATTTGTATTATCAATTTCTCTCTGCCAATCATCAGTAATTTGTGTAAGTGCTGTGATTGTTGAATGTCCTTCCCTATAAGCGTGCTGAAAGTCTGTTGTCATCTGTCTGTTGAAAGCCTTGTATCTGGTCAAACACAATTTTTTCCAAAACGTTACTAAGGGTTGGTAACAGGCTGATTGGTTGGCTATTTGAGCCAGTAAAGGGAGCTTTACTATTATTAGGTAGCGGAATGACTTTTTCTTCCCTCCAGGCCTGAGGGCACACACTTTCTAGTAGGCTTAAATTAAAGATATGGCAAATAGGAGTGGCAATATCGTCCGCTATTACCCTCAGTAATTGTCCATCCAAGTTGTCAGACCCTGGTGGCTTGTTGATACACAACAATACTTTTTTCACCTATTCCACACTCACTTTACGGAATTCAAAATTACAATTCTTGTCTTTCATAATTTGGTCAGATATACTTGGATGTGTAGTGTCAGTGTTTGTTGCTGGCATGTCATGCCTAAATTTGCTAATCCTGCCAATGAAAAAATTATTAAAGTAGTTGGCAATATCAGTCTGTTTTGTGATGAATGAGCCATCTGATTCAATGAATGATGGAGCTGAGTTTGCCTTTTTTCCCAAAATGTAATTGAAGGTGCTCCAAAGCTTTTTACTATCATTCTTTATGTCATTTATCTTTGTTTCATAGTGTAGTTTCTTCTTATTTTTATTCAGTTTAGACACATGATTTCTCATTTTGCAGTATGTTTGCAATCGGTTGTGCAGCCAGACTTATTTGCCATTTATTTTGCCTCATCCCTCTCAACCATACAATTTTTTAATTCCAAATCAATCCATGGGGATTTAACTGTTTTACAGTCATTTTCTTAATAGGTGCATGCTTATTAGTAACTGGGATAAGCTGTTTGGACAGTCAGTATTCCAAAACGGATTTGAAAAATGGAACTGATTTGAGCATTAAGGCCTGCGTGTGAACAAGGCTTTATAATCTCCACCCGGCACAGCCAGAAAAGGACTGGCCAGCCTTCAGTGTCTGGTTCAGCTCTAGGTTTCTTTCTAGGTTTCTGCCTTTCTAGGGAGTTTTTCCTAGCCACGTGCTTCTACATCTGCATTGCTTGCTCTTTGGGGTTTTATGCTGGGTTTCTGTATAAGCACTTTGTGACAACTGCTGATGTAAAAAGGGCTTTATAAATACATTTGATTGATTGATTGATTGCATATGCGCAGTTTGCCGCGAGACGACCGTTAGACACGATGACGTGTTTATGCGCATGAGTTTAGCTAGCCAACATTGCCTACAAGCGTGATCGGGGACTTCTATTGGAGAAGCAGTTTCTGCCTATCTTCATGCTGTACTGTCTTTGGAAATGGCCTGAATTGCGCAGCGTTCATAGAGATAGATAGAGGACTCATCAAAAAAAGGAATATCTCTAGCAGACAGATTTTGATGGGGACTTTTTTATTATGCTAATTCGATTCCCGCGGTGGCGTGGACATCAACTCTAGGGGGTTTAACATAGAAGTCAACCTATGTCCTGTACTTTCAAAATGATTACATTTATAAAGTTTATTTTCGATTTCTACTTCAAATGGAACAGACTTTGTTAATAACATGTATTAAATCATATAAAACACGGCAACAGTAAACATGTTGTCCCCCACAAATGATGCGGTGCCCCCCCATTTGGCCAATTAGTGACAACAATTCAAGCTTAAACGGGACAGGAGATATGCTTGTTCAAAGTTTGGAATTGCAGTTGATTACTATAGTGCCTTGGGCCTATCAGTGTAATGTTGTAAATGCCAGATCTGTCACGCCTGCTCCCGCTCCCCCTCCGTGGGGCTCGAGGGCGCCATGCTGGCCATCATTACGCACACCTGTCACCATCATTACACACACCTGTCACCATCATTACACACACCTGTCACCATCATTACACACACCTGTCACTATCATTACGCACACCTGTCACCATCATTACACACACCTGTCACCATCATTACACACACCTGTCACCATCATTACACACACCTGTCACCATCATTACGCACACCTGTCACCATCATTACGCACACCTGTCACCATCATTACACACACCTGTCACCATCATTACACACACCTGTCACCATCATTACACACACCTGTCACCATCATTACACACACCTGTCACCATTGTTATGCGCATCAGCGCTTCATTGGACTCACCTGGACTTCCTCACTGTTTAATTACCTCCCCTATATCCGTCTGTTCCTCAGTTGTGATCCCCGTGTCAGCATTAATGTTGTTATGTTTCCCCTGTCCAGACTCTGTCCGTGTTTTGTTTCATGTCTGTATATATTAAATGTTCACTCCCTGTACTTGCATCTCGTCTCCCAGCATCTGTCCTCACAAGATCTCTATGGCAAGACACATCATTCAAGTATCGCCAGTGGTGTCTGAGATATTGTGTGTGACTAACATACGAACGGACGGAGAGAGATCCATAGTTCCCTCTCTGATTTCATCGTAGGGGACAATAACAATGTTTTAGCCCTATACCGTGAAAATAGAAATAAGAAAGAAATAAGCGAAAGATAAAGGAAAGAGCCCTCCACACGACCTCTCCAATCAGTTTTGCGAGAGAAAGAGCTTTGTGATAGCTTGGTAAGTAAGTTAGTACTGCTGCGTTATGAAAGGAACTAGACACGGACACGAATTATCTGCTTAGTGTGTTAACACACTATTGGTGGTTTGTTGTGACCAAGTGTTGGTGCTAAACTGTGTGTTATTGGATGCTAGCATGCTAGTTAGCTATGGTGTCATAGTTAGCTAGCTGAATAAATTGGGTTGAGTCTATTCCTTTAAACATTGAACCGCTGTGGTTCACAACAATTCTGATTTCTAAAGGTGGAAGTTGGGAGAGTTTTTGTTCGGGTGGTTCAGTGAAACAATTATAGTTTCTGAGGTGGAAGTTTTGGTGAGGGAGGCCCTGCTCTCTCCTCTCCCAGATGTTTAGTTCATTTCATTCCGATCTCCTCTGCATTATTGTAGCCATTTGCTACAGCCTGTCAACTATGCCTCTGCCTATCCCTGTTCTCTCCTCTCTGCACAGGCTACACAAACGCCTCACACCGCGTGGCTGCTGCCTCTCTAACCTGGTGGTCCCTGCACGCAC